AACACCAAGCTACAATTCAAAGATATAACTGAAGTTAATAACTTGACCAACTTTCTGCTGGGCCCATGAGGAAGGTTGGAAAGGTCAAGGGATTGACTCTATTTGATTATTTGACGAGTCGTAGCTTGATGCTGAGAATGGCAAGGCTCACCGACGATGTCGGCGAAATGTCAGGGAATGTACCAAGTCCACGAGCATACGCTGGGAATAATAACTACTATAGCAGATGACTTGGCACAAGGTTATTTTAAGCCGCCCTAACAACACGACCAACTTATAAAAACGAGATCAGACCTCTTCTATACATCGAAGGTAGACTGCGACCAAAATGAGGGCCACACCCTGGTCTTCATAACCACGTTCAGAAAGTAAGACTAATTATTCATCCTTTTTTATATTAGGCTAACCAAAGTATATCGGCACTAGCAGGCAATAAATCATGGCAAGTATATGAAATTTAGTGGAGATGATTATATATATCGAAAGTTCGAAGATAAAGATAGTGTGCTTTTGCTATGGTCGCCGTCTTCTTTACTATCATAAAAGTGGCTTGACTTCGACTTGATTGTGTTGTCAGAAAGGCCAAATCGAACGCAGCGATAACATACGCTGTAGTGCCATGGTTCGAGTCCCGCTGGGGATGTTGATAAGACCTAGTAGAGGTCGAAGTTGCAGTACACCTCGGATGAGAATACCTTTGGGAAAGCAAGGCTGTGTGAAATTCAATGGAAACGTCATGTCTACTCATATAATTGCGAGAAAATTCAACTAACAGTCTTCTTATCACGCTAAACGAAATAAGATGAAAAATCGCATAAATCTGCTAAACAATTGAAACATCTCTCATCTGATACGTTAATCTATCCCATATTGTCCTATCGCCCCTTCATTATAACAAGTTTTGACCTGCTTATTTCCTTGTTGGGGAGACTTTCATTTCGTATGAAAGTGCATGAAGAAGAGATTCGTAGGTCGATCTCACCAGAAGAGGACAGATAAATCCTGTTGTACTGCAGCCGTTTGGCTTTTATATGACTTTCATTTTGACACAGTCCATGAGGCATTCTCCTTCGTTTCGTGTGAAAACGGATTGAGCTTTCGTTTATCATGTGATGGACATTATTAGAGCTGAGTCTCATTACTGTAAGTGTAACTTTAACACTAGGGCAAGAAGAACATCCGGCTCTATATTAACTCTTATATAGATTCAATTATGCCAAAAGAAAATTCAGAACCTAAATAGATAGAAAGAGTGGTTTGGCTAATTATCTTTCATACTGGTCCTGCTACTTTTGCTCGAGCGTGTGTGTATGTGTGTTGGTTAGCAAAAGTAGTAGAACCAGTATGAAAGATAATTAGCCAAACCACTCTATATCTATGTATATAGGTTTGCAATTTTCTTTTGGCTTAATTGAATCTATATAAGAGGTAAGATAGGGCC